TTTTTTTTTTTTTTTTTTTTTTTTTTGGTAAAGTGGATGCCTTACTTTTTGGATAAATATTTTTGAGGTTATTTCTATTTCTTTTGGATTTTTTTTTTTAAACGTAAGGTTTTGCGGGGATAGAATTAGCTCCTTCACAATGATCTTGTCATAAAGTTGGTTTAGGTTTTAGAATTCTGTTCATTTGTTTTGTGGAGGATTTGGTTTTTTTTATGTAATAAAATTTTAAATGGAAATGAATCAGTGGTGTTGATAATGAAATGACCTTCTGAAACTGAGTCACTAGGCATTTTTCCTTAGTCAAGTCCTTGCTTGCCACATAGCTTCCAGGACAGGATTCCTAAAAGCTCGTGATCTCTGTACCTTCAGGCTCTCCTAAGGCCTTGGGGCCTGGACATTCAAACAACTCCTCCACATTCTTTCTATGGGGTCCTAAAGTGTTCAAGTCCTATGCTGTGCACCATCTTGAGAGCCTGTGAATCAACTGGGAAAAAAGAATCAACCACTGGCCAGGCATGGGGCGCACACCTGTAATCCCAGCACTTGGGAGGCTGAGGCAGGAGGACTGCTACACGTTCAAGGCCAGCTTGAATTACACTCAAAAAACAAAACCAAAATTTTTTTTAAAGGGGAAAGGGGGAGGGGAACTGGAGATGTAGGTCCATGACAGTGCTTGCCTAGCATGTCTGAGGCCCCTGGATTCAATCCCCAGTACTGCAAAAGAGAAAATAATACTGATCGTCATCACAAAGTAGGGCAGAACCTGGCTGAGTGATGTGAGGTAAAGGCATGGGATGGTGTCCCTAGAACCTGGCAGCAAAGTCTTGTGCTGAGCCAAATGGGAAAGGAAATGATGGGCTTCTATAATGAGACTCAGGATTGCCAAGTGCAATGGCACATGCTTGTAATCTCAACTCAGGAGGCTGAAGCAGGAGGATTTCAAGTTAAAGGCCAGCCTGGGCTACATATCACCTAGACCCTCTCAAAATAAGACTCCTCATTTAGGAGCTGAAACTGGCTCACTTAGCTATGCAGAACCACCCAACAGGACAATTTCTGGGAGGAGGAAGATGAGGATTATTGGACTAGTACTAGGGAAAAAGGAAGAGTGTAGGTAGCCGCATACCTCCTGATGTTTTGGGTTAACTGTTAGAGGAAGCTGATGGGACTCAACCCACTCCTTCCTTTCTGGGCAGTCCTGCTGTTCTCTCCTAGGGCAGCATCAGACCAGGGCCAGCACTGCCGGCAGATGCAGGGCCTGTGGGAAGATGGTACATGTCAAGACATCACCCTTCACCATCTGGGATGCTGAGATGACACAGCAGGAGGATCACCTCCCCTCTTGCCTTGGCCTGGGCGCTCCACTCCTGTTGTGTGGCTGTCCTGCCAGGCAAGCTGCCAGATTGCTGTCCAGAAGGCCCTGAGTGGGAGGCTAGACACTAATCAGCTGTGTGTCCTCAGGCAAGTCCCTTCATCTCTTAGGAGAGAGACAGAGGCAGAGAGAAACAGACAATGAATATGAATGAGATTGAGACGTAATCCAAAACAGTTCTCAGTCTCATCACGCTGCTATCCCTGAAGGGCAGAGGCCAGGCTTGTGCAGGAGGCTGTCCTAGAAGACACATCCACCTTTCTGAGCCCAACAAACTTCTCCCTGGCCGGCCCAGTCTCCTCACCCCTTCTGCCAGGTCCAGCCCCTCCAGTGCCCTCTCATCGCACAGACACTTGTCCCTGAGGGGCTCCCCTCTTCCTGTAAAGTCACACCTGCTGATCTCAACCTGGTCAGGGGGGCAAATGTGGGTGGTCTCCTGGGAAACAGGCACTTATTTTTAACCGGCGCTTCCTCCCCACCCCAGTACCGGGGATCGAACTTAGGATCTCGGTGCTTGCCAGGCAGGTGCAGTGCCACTGAGCTACATCCCCAACCAGCCCGAGTTTTTTCCCTGTCTTAACCCTGCCAGTCACTGTCGTGCTAGGCATTTCTGATGCTCTGACTTTAAAGAATTTGGGACCCTTTTGGAAGTCATTAAAGTCATAGGTGTTTATGCTTTAATTTATTAATACAGTCACTCAACAACAAAAAAATTTTTTTGGCTTTGCTATATGCTGTGAAAACAGCAAATTTATTCCTGAACTTTCCAACTCAGTGTAGACTTCAAATATTTTCTCCCCTATAGAACTATTGAGACGTGCCAATCCACTGATCCTTAATTTTAATTCAGGAAATATGATCACTTTACTTGAAGCAATCCAGAAGAAGTATTTTACCCAACATTCAAAGAGCAAATAGCCTTTCAGGGAAAAGAAGCAAAGATGCATGTGTCACGAAGGTGTGTGCTCTCGGCCTCTCTGGCCACCTCTCCATCTTGGAGCTGCCTTCCTGTGGCCTCACCGCTCCACCTGCAGAACTGGTTCCCATGCATCTCCAGAGCCTGTGGCCATGCCTGGGACCTATGTGCTCAAAAATACTTATCAAACTGAGGCATCATACCCCTTCCGCAGGTATGTGTCTTCTTTGGAGACAAGTAAAACGGCAGCAAGAGGCCAGAGGAAGGAAGGAAGGAGACTGAACATTTACTGAAGCCAGTTGCTTCACATACACTATCTTATTCAAAGTCTAATTTAACACTCCTGCTGTCTTACAGGTACCGTTCAGCAGCTTACCCAAGATCACTGAGCTGCTAAGTGACAGAGGCCAGATAGGAGCCCAGTTCTCACTGACATTTCACTGCCAGGCTCGTCCACCTCCCTTTGGGGAAGGCTTGGTTCACAAGGCTTGTCACAAAACTACTAAGATAACCCAACAAGTAGTGCGGATAGCAGTGTAGGGAAAATAAAATGGTCTGCTAACTGGAGAAGGCTTCTTTCCCCTCCAGACCAGGAATCTCCAGCCCCTGCTCTCCCACCTCCTTCCCCTCCAGTCCCTGCCTTGACATCCACAGTCTGGCTGCCCCCAGGAAGCCCTCAGTTACTGGGAAACACTGATGTCAGTGTACAGGCAGCGTCAGCCTTTCAGGGAGGCCAGGAGCACAGATCACTTATCTCACTATGCGGCGAGCTTTCTCATTTCCTGCTGGCTTTATTTACACATCTCCCTACTTCCTCCAGCACCCAATTCCCTGCCCCTGATGCGGACACCCCCTCCTCATGGTGGCCCACAGATGGCGAAGGAGTTCTCTGAGTCACACAGTAAGCAGCCCCTGCCACAGCACTTCAGCCCTAAGCCATCTCAGGAGCAAGCCTGTGGTACTTCCTGACTTCAGCAAGACATCCTCGGGTGACCTTGGACAGCTCAGCCTCTCAGATTTGTTTTCCTTGTTGGTAAAGCAGGGATAAAAATACTGTCTGCTGTGCCTTCTTTCCTACTTAACTCACAGTGAGATGGTCGGCATTGAAAGTGAATGTTACAAAGTCTGAAAAACAAGATTTATCTGCAAACACCTAGCATTAACATTATTTCAAAGTCAGAGACGGAGGGGACCTGTCACCAGCCCTCCGGGTCTATCCACCCTCCCCATAACCTCACTGCAAGCCCCTCATCCTGGCAATATTTCCCCTTCCTCCCCAATGCCTAAGGCTCAGTCAGTGCCACGGTTAACAAAGGGGCCCTCTGCTGTCCTTATCCAAACCACAGAAGCCCCTCAAAGTCCCAATTTTTGGGCCAATATTGCCACCTAGTGGTCAAGAGAGACAATGTCGCCAAAGTGAAAGTATTTGGCCTTGGTGCCTACTTAAAATGGTACCAAGATCTCCTGAAATGAAGAGAAGAAATCTCCCCGTCTGCTTCCTGAGATCTGTCTCCAACACATGCAGATCTTTCCATTCCAGCACAGGGGTTCTCAGCATATCTCATCATACTTCAGATTGGGCACAGAGCACCTGGATCAGGCGAGGGAGTAGAGAGGATGGGAAGGGAGATGCTATCTAGAGGAGTAACTTGCCTGACTTGCAAGCAAGTTACATTTGCATCTTTACGGTTCAGTGCCACACAGATCCCATCCACATTTGCCCCACTGTGGCTCATTCACAGGGACACAGCGCCCGATGTGCCCA